GCCTTGGTGGGTTGATTACTTCCAAGCCAATCACTTCGAAGACGCTCTACTTGGCATACTCATGACCTTCCTGGTACATGAAAATGAACCAATCTCTCTGTTCTTCAAATGGAGAGCTTGTTTGTTGAGGAATGCAAGATCCTCTGCTAGCCTATTTTTCTCCACCAAAATAGCAGCTCAGACGGGACTGTACACCCAGACAGACCCTCATGTGTGGCAATTTGTGGTTGTGGATACTGGGAAGAGATGAACAAGTGTCCACTGGGTGTGGTAGTCTCGTACCACCACTCCTTTTTTCTGCCTGAGTTTTCTTTGAAAAACATTGAAATTCCTCTCTCTTCCCTTTCCTATAGTGTGCATATAGTATTATACATGGACAGTGTGTATGCATACAGATATGGTTAGCAAGGTATAAAGGAAAAGTTGTAATCTTCTTGCTCAGAGACAGCAATGCACATACTAGACCTGCCTTTATAATCTGGGGTCACACACATACACACACACACACACACACACACACACACACACACACACAGAGCACACTTTACCTGCTTTGTACTAGCTTTCTTCCTTTATATTGTGTAGGACAGATCACTTCTCACAAGAATAAAAATAGCCTGGTTACATACAGTATTCCATCAAACACCTTGACCCTGGCTGGTGGTAATCAGGTTAATTCAGTTTCTTTAGACAATGAACAACTTTGATGATATCTTCAGTCATGTTTTTTCGCAGATATACCTTGTAAAGATATCTTTGCTATTATTACTGTCATCATTTCATGGCTATGCTGTGGAGTTTTAAAAGTTTATTGAAAATTTCTTTCTCTCTCTTCTTTTGGCCTTTTTTTGAGACAGGATTTCACTTGCAGTTCAGGCTGGCCTTGTACTTACTTTGTAGTCTAGGCTGGACTCAAACTTGCAGGGGTTCTCATGTCTCATACTTCCAAGTGCTGGGATTACATGTGCACCAACATGCCTGGCCTATCTCTCTCTTTTATCACTATAGAGAATTGGTCCTAGAATGTTCTACCACTGATCTATACGTTTAGTCATTTTTGAGACAAGGTCTTACTAAGTTGCCCAGGTGGGACTCCAACTTGAGATCCTTCTGCTCCAGCTTCTAGGTATTTAAGTTGATAGCCCTAGAGTACTATGCCCAGAACTCTGGGAGTCTCTTGACAGTTCTAGCATTCCCCAGAGCAACCTGCATCATCAAAGGTTTACAGAAAGGAACATTGAAGATCTGGAGCAGTAGGAATGCTCTCCTTCCCCTCCATCTCATTGGCCAGGCACAGCTGTTCCAGCACCAGAGTGCTCTCAGGCGCTTGTGGATATGGGCCATCATCTAGAAGGGAAGGTCCCAGCAGACACACCCTAGAAGGAGGGGATGAGCCTGCGTTGGGCTTTGACCCACGGATGGGCACATGGAGACAAGAATGAGAACACACCCACGTCACAGAGGTGACTAACAGGTCATCTGTGGGAACACAGCCCAGACCCCAACATTTTATGTCCCTTCTACCATCCTCAGTATTACCAGTGGCTGATAAATGCTCATACCCCTTTTCACCTATCAGAATGGTCTGGATTTACCACCACAGGAGTTCTGTCTGCAGTTTTATCATCTCATGTAAAAAGCACCCTTGTAGGGGTGGGACAAGGATGTCCAGGGATCCTGCTCCCTTACAGAAACTCCAAACCAGGCTTCTGCTGGCTTCTGGAACTGCCAAGGAGATAGGCAATCAGCTTGAGGGAGCTGGGTCAAGAAGGTTTGGGAATGGACATTCCTGAGAGCCGAATCTAAGACGCTTCAGGCTAGGGCTTCTTTTCCCTTTACTCACTCCTAAGACTCCCTCAAGGCTGGGAATCTGGCCCTGGTTGCACTGGGTAGAGGGTCTTGTCTGGCAGATGGAGGAGCCTCTTCACAGCTCCAGTAAGAGGCCCAGGTGGAAGGGCACCTCAGGCTACACCTGCTATCCCGGGCTACTGCTCAGGGTGCATGGGGCTTTTCTCAAGAAAGGTGGTACAAAATGGTGGCACAGAAGGCAACCTGAGAATGTCCATGTTCTAGAAATAGCATGAATGCTAGTAAAGAATGTTTTAGGAACAGCTTATTGGTACTGAGAGAGAAATGGGCTTCTCACCTGTGCATTCACACAGTAGAGGCTGGGCTTCTACACCTGTGAAAGAGCCTCTTCCAAGGCTCTGGCCCACTCTAGGTTGCTGTCTCTGCAGGGCCTACCCTGACCTTCAACACCATCTCCAATTTCAGGAGGCCACAGCAGGGCAGCCTTCAACCATGCCCTGATATTTCTGGGTACTGGTGCTGCTGGCAGGAAGCCCTTGAAGGGGGCTGTGTAACCTGGGATTTGTCAGGAGTGATTGTGAGATTTATAGGTATGTGGGTTCATCAGAAGTTACTACTTGGTCACTAGGGTGGCCCTTGGAGAAGGGACTCTTGTTTTCCCCTCCTGGTGCCTTTCATCTCAGGTAAATCCTCTGCTGAGCAGTAAGATCAAGATATCAGGAGAGCCCACCATGGTGTCTGATTCAGTAAGCCAAACCCTTGCAGGAAAGGAACGATCCCAGAGGATCTCTGCAGTGTGGTGAGTGTGAAGAGGAAGAGGTGCTCTTTAATGGGTGGATGACATTTGCATCATCTTAAAAAAGCCACTGTGGCTTGACATAGTGACATATGCCTATAATTCTAGCTACCCAGGAGGCTGGGAAGGGGGATTGCAAGTTTGAGGTCTGCCTAGGTAGTTTAGTGAGATCCTATCTCAAAGCAAAAAATTTAATACAAGGGCCCTGTGAGTAGCTCAGTGGTTGAGCTATTGCTTAGCATGCCCACGGCACTGGGTTCCATCTCCAATACTGAAAGATAAAAAGCCTTATGCACTGCAGGGGAGCTGGGGCCCTGTCCCATCCCAAAACACACAGGAGTAGCTCGGCACTCACACCAATCACTTAAACTTGGATTCATTTAGCAAATGTTCTCCTACTACAGAGAAAACTTCTCAGGAGGTGGGAAAGTAGCACTGCCATAACAGAGACATGAGAGGCCTTTGGCATGCAAAGCAAGGATTTCCCTAGCAGGATCCCTGGGTTATGGCAAAGGTAATATGACCAAGGTGAGGTCTTAGGCTGGACAATGCTGCTTATTCTCTCCCAATTAGCAGGAGCATTTTAGATCTGCCTTTGTGAGGACCAGAAGAGTGAGCAAAATCACTGGCAAGGGAAGCACCTTTGGGCTCAGTGAGCCTACGGCTCTCTGGAGGCTCTGCTTCAGTGACGGGATTATATGCTTATGGGCTGGCTTCTATCTGGAAGATTCACAGGATTTCCCATACCTTAGCTCTCTGTGGGGGTTACTTAACCCCCAAAGAAACACCCAGGAAGAGGGATCAGAGAGTGTGAGGAGCCTCATTTAGTGCCTAGTCCCCATCTGTTAGATGTACACTGCTAAGGAGCCCTCCTTGAGCAAGGAACAGGCTGGAGCAGAAACACTCCTTATCTGTTAGGAAGGAGTGGGATATTTAGGGACAAGTGTTCCACTTCCTATGAAGCCCATCTCAAAGGAAAGGTGGGCCACACATTCCCACAGAAGCCCTGTGAAGTGTCCTCATGGCAGGGAACCTCAGGGCCAAGTCGTCACCACGAAAGGCTGCCCGCCTGGATTGAACTTGGAGCCACATACCTGCTCACACATGGTCTGCCAGAAGTCTCACCTGTGTATTCACTTGTTGTGGCTATAGCAATTAAAACATGCAAAAGCAACACTTTTTTACAATATCACACATTACTTAATGGTTGAACCCTAATATTTTCTCCTGCTGGGTTTTTCTTAACAAATCAATCTGGAGAAACACATATTGTTTGTTTTCAGGATCCAAACTGAAATGGGAAGACTGGCTGTGTGTGGGGTGTTGTGTATGTACTGGGGATGACCTGAGTCCCACTTAGACACAAGGAAAGAAACAGCAACGCTCCCCAGCCTATCTGGCCCTTTCATGCCCCTTCTGCCCCGTGACCCAGGGCACCTGTTTCTTTGGTAAGAAGTGAGAAGCACACATACTAAACAGACCTGCCTCAGATGCACTTCACGGGACTAACTCAGAGCTGGCAAAATAATTCCAGTCTCTCTTTAGATGCTGTCTTGCTCTTTCTCCACCCTACTGCATTAGAGAGCTTGACAATGAAAATCTGGAAGCACTGTTCTGCATCCTCAGGTCACAGTCAAAACAGGCTCCCTATGAGGCCAAGCACCTTGGTCTACAAAATGTGCCTCACTTACCATGTCCCCCACGTGGTAGGGACTTCCAATAATCCCAACAATGGTAGCCTGAAATGAGTATTTAATAGGACAGCCCTTTAAAAATTTTTCTTTAAGGCTGCCAACAACATTGGTACCATACTGTACAGGATCAATCTTAATTACTGTCCATGTGAAAATTTTTCTTGTGACTTTTTTCAACGAGAAAAACATTAATGAGAAACTTTAAAGGCTTGTTAACAGTGTCCTTTCATCAATCAGAGGTGCTGTCAGGCCAGGCTCTGCTGTCAATTTGCACCTCACTGCCCAGCATCCACTTCCTACTTTCTCATCCACTCCTGGTCCCTGCCCCCACTACAGATCCTTGTTGGAGCTGCCGTGGGTGATGGAGGCCAGACGTTCTCCATCTGTCAGCAGCTGGAGCCACTGGGTCCTGAAGACTCCAGCCAGCCGGCCTCAGTCACCTGGAGACAAGTTGGGACCTGCAGTTTCTCTAGGCTGGGGCCCTGGCTTTTGAGTAATACCTCCCCTTGTTTCATGCAGACAGATAGATGGCTGGACAGACACACAGACAGACAGGTGCTGCCTGGCAGTAGCCTTCTGCAGAGTCCTGTGCATATCTGTGTCTTTCAAACTGATAAACAGAGTGGACATGAACTTCACCTTCTCAAATTCAAACTTTTAATCAAGCTCTCTCATGAATAAGAAAGAAAAACCCAGATGGCTGGAGGGAGGCTAAATAAATTTAATCTGCCACATGAGGGCCATCAAGTGCCCTCTGCAACCCCACTGCCACACATCAGCAAGGAAATACACACAAACAAGATATATGGAAATCCAAACTTGTCCCAGTGATAGGAAACTCAAGGCAAGGGGTTTAGTTTCCCAAATGGACTTCTGGGAAAATCTTTAGAGTAAAAGAAACTCTCCTAAATGTGGCTCACATTAAGCCGATTTGTCTATTGTTCCAGAGTCCTATGTGCTGTTTGAACCCAAATGGCACTAAGAGTTTTGGCAAGTTCCAGAGGGAAATGAACAACTTTTATGTGGATTCAGCTGTGACTTCCTGCCCATTCTGATAGTAGTGAGATCCAAGTTGGCAACACCTGCCCATGAACCCACAGACAAAGTGGACAAGATGGGAGACAGATCTGGGGTTCCAACAGAACCTATGGGGGTTTTCCTGGCTGCAGAAATCCTGCTGCACAGCCCCCTTGAGATTGTCCCTAATCACTTGGGGCTTCCAGCAGTCATATACCAAGGAGGGTTCTAAGCAATCTGTGTACAGGGCTTTGTTCTTACCCCATACTTTTATAGAAAATAAGTTCAAGATCACACTGGTATGCACGAATGATCTAAGAAATGAAGTTAGATGGTTTTCATACGAACATATCTATGTTGAATGTGTTTGGCTCCTTCAGATGGAATTTGCAACAATCAGGCAGGAGTAGAGAGCTATGGAAGAAAGACTGATACTGGAAAAAGTGATTAGAATAAGGGAAAGGAGAAAAAAAGGAAGAGAAAGGGAAAAAGACATAAATGTGTGTGTGTGTGTGTGTATCTCATATATATATGATAGCTAAACTGACTATACTACTAATTATATTAATTATTGGAAAAGAACAGTTAATATTCATATGTTTAGATCAGTTCTACATGTCTGTATCTGCTAATCTAAGCAACCCTCTTGAAGGTAACAATATACAATATTACAACCATTTTCAAATTCCTTCCATCCTGTTTTGTGAACCTATACTATTATTGTGTTTGGTTTATTGTTGTTTGTCTGTCTGTATTGCTTTTTTTGTTTTTCTTTTCTGTGTCTTTTTAATCTGAAAAAGATTGATACTGGAAAAACTTGAGTCACCCAGATATTTTAGACATCCAGCATATGAGGTGATGAAATGCAAGAGCTTAAGTCCTTACAGCATATGAGAACCAGGGAGGGTTGTTTAGGAAGTTGTCTGCTATGCAGGAAGTGTCAGAGTTAAAATTCCAATTAATTTACCAAGAAGGTGAGCCACTGCTTCCTCCAAAAAATCTACTGCCTACAACTGTTGGTTTTGGAATTGCAAAAAACAACCACCCCTGTAGTTCTGCAAACTCTCTCATAAAAGCCCTTCAGAGTTCCTGATTGGGCACCAGCCAACACTATTATAACCACACTCGCACAATTATGTTTTCTTCTTTGGGTGTAAGGACCTAAGCTCTTTCATTTCATCACCTCATGTGCCACAGAGCACAGGGAAGTGGGTGAAGTTTACCCACCTAGTGTCCCTCGTGGGAAGAGGCTGTGAGAGAAACATCCCCTCCTTCCTCTGCAAAGCAGCCTCCTGCCTGGTCAGGGGCATCTGCTCCATTAAAGTGTGGTTCCCCAAGAACAAATATTGTTTCTGAGTCTTTCATTACCTTGGTCTCTGAAAGTGGCGAGAGCATGGCTGATAGGCGCGGCAGTGGTTGTCATGCTGTACAGGTCTTTGTGTCAGCATTCAAAGCACCGCAGCGCTGGACTGGCAGACTGGCAGGTCAGGGGCACCCTGGGCCAAGGCCAGAGAACAGTTTCCTTGTTTCAACATTTCTTTTATTTGGAAAATATTTTTGTGTCTTTATGCCTTTCCTTTTCCTCTTTGCTTTCACAAGCAGCACTGCAACCTCAAGCCAGAGCGGCTCTAGGCGACCCGTGCTGGTGTTTCATGTTTCATGTCAGCCTCTGCAGAGCTTGGCCTCGGAGCAGTACATAGCTACGGTGGTGCGAGACCTGCTGCCTCTGTCAGCGGCCACCTCGGGGCATCTGTCGAGCCTGTTGTGACAGGGCCAATGAAACCTTAAGAGATGAGAACAGAGATACTTTTTGTACTGCTCCAAGGGCACAGCCCAAATAGCCCTATGCACAATTCCAGGCTGCACAAAGCCTTGGTGGCTTTGATAAGGTAGGTGCTCTGGCCACATGTGGCTGACCTAGGCTGGGGGCTCAGCCCTTGATGACTGCTTTCTCAGAGGCTGACCCTTAAAACCTTGGAGTTCACACAAAAGACTCCTGTTGTGTAGGGCACCCAGGAGCTCCCAGTCCAGGAAGGTGGTCTGTGGACAGTACGCACACCCGTCACCCACGTGTGTGTGAGGGAGGCAACGTGGAATTCTGTCCTGGAGTGGGTTCCAACCTGCTGCCCACACTCAAACTCATCCTACAGCAGCGCGCTGCGGGGGTCTCTCCCGGCACACTGCAGCCACAGTGCCCTCTGTTGGAACACATGCACACAGAATGAATAGGCAGGAGCTGCAGGGCCTGGAGCTGTGCCTGGAGAATCAGAACTTTCTGATCAGGCAGAAGAAAGAGGCAGCAGGCAATGATTCCTGGTGACTCTCAGGTGCTGGGAGACATCTGCATTACACAACCCATGAATGGTCCCTGATGCAGGGGGCACTCTGGCCCTTCCCATGCATTTACCTGGCCATGTCATACAGAGATGGGCCCCTCTAAGGTCAAAAAATGAGCAAAAACTCTTCAATGAGGCCAATGGGAGTGTGTTAGTGTTCACAACTCATGGTACAGCAGCCCAGGACACTACCCTGAGAAACCAGATGTCTGCATGACCTGTCATCTGTGAGACTCACCCTCTTTCACAATTGAAATGACCAGGTGCAGAAGACAAGTGGTACTGGTCATGTCATTTTATGTTCAAGGAAACACATCCAGAAGTAGTTTGTAACACAAGGACACAGTAAAGTATAAGCGAGGGAGAAAGGCCTGCAGCTTATTTTCTTGGGTGCAGTACCAGCCACATCCAAATCAGGCCGTTATCAGGTTGTATTTCCATCCAGGTTTCCGGTGACATGTGCAAACCACTTGAGCTTCCCTGCTGCGGTTCACACTGGCACAGAGAAGCTGTGATAAAAACATAGCTTTGTGCAGCACAGTTGGGTGCAGCTTATTTTCTCCATATATCATATGCTCTGTTTTATTCATCCATACTCAGAGCTACAAGTCTTTTGGACACAGTTAACTTCAAAGCTAAAAGGACGACAAAGTCATAGAGTGTCAGGTAGTGTCAGGTGGCAGATTTGTAAACAGACCCCAATACTATTGGAGGCATGGGCTAACCTGCTTCTATATGTGACCTTGCACTTCCAGGTCTACTTCAGTCTGAACAGGCCCCAGATCCTTGAGGCCTCTGCAAGTGGGTTGTGTCTTCCCTGCTTCTCAGAGCATGCTAAACCAAGGACAGTAAGAGACACCAGAATCTGGAGGTGAGATCTGAGCACCTAGAAAGGTGTCAGTTTAGCCAAACCCGAGTCCCAGGAGCTATTTGTCTTTCCAAATCTTTTTGGAAAAGAATTATTTTTCATTCAATTGATCCTGACTGTATGTGGATGCATTTTGCATCAGCTGATCTGGTAGCTGGAATGAACTGAGCTGGACACCTCCACAGAGCTCCTACTTCCCTGGCTTGTCCCCTTTCCTTCAGTAAGACTTGAGCTTGGAGTGCTCAGAGCTGAGTATGAGTCATCTTCTCAGCAGGAAAAATGGCCAGGAAGGAAGGAAGGGCCACTTGGGGACCCTGCTGGGGTGGGGTCAGCTGTTCAGTGTGGACAGTCTGGGGCAGCCAGCTGTTGCCTGTGGGTGCCAGATGCTTCCCTCTTCCCAAGGAGGGGCCTAAGGCTCTCTTTACTCTCACCATTTTAATGGACATTAAAAATGGAACAATAACCACATTAAAGAAGGGAACCAATGACAGGCACAATGGCTGGTCATCTGAACTCATTCTGCTGTATAATGTAGAAACAAGAAAGGGCAGACACACCATGTCCCCCAGGACACATCTGGCTCTTTTAATACAGTGGTGCCACCACACAACCTGCTTCCAATGCGGGATTATGTTTATGTGTCACTCAAATGTTTACTTTGAATACAAACCCTCAATTTCAGCCAGAAAGTTGAGAGCTGGTGGTGCCACTGGCTGCCCTGGGTGTGGTTCCAGCCAGACCCAGATCCTTGCAGGTTAGCTTCTCTGCCCTATTGCCTTCATGGGCCAGAAGCCACTCTTTCACAGCCCGTCCTCCGGTGTAGTTGCCCATGGTTCCATCGCTGCAGATTACTCTGTGGCATGGGATGAGGATGGGGACCTGAAAAACAGAGGCCACCACTATCATCAATTTGGCCCTGGGCTAGTCAGGTCAGAGTCAAGAGCAAGGTCCTGAGCAAAGCTGGTCTAGTACTTACCAGGAAAGGCTCATGCCAGGCAGGCTGCTGGCATCAAGCACTGATGCCAGTTCTGTGTCAACACCCCCACCTCAACCCCCACAGAACCCTTGAGCTGGGAGCCCTGCACAGACTGTAGGTACACATACCCTCTGGTGTAAGATGTGGGACCTCATCCAGAAAATCTCCTTTACTCCAAGTTTTGAGAGGAGAAAACTTACCTTCATTGGATGAGTATTTTATTATATACACCTATAGAAGTTACAAAATAAATTTCTAAGATCAGGATGGGATGTAACCTTCTCAGAAAGTCCTTGGCTATGTGGGGTGATGATGGTATTTGGTTAGCCACCTGCTGCCACAAGCCTCATGCACCCTCACTCTGGTTTCATAAATATGGTTGTACTGGAACACAGCCATGCCCTCAGTATATATACTGTAGATGGCGCTTTGTCAAATCCTAAATAGTTACCCCCTCAGCCGATCACAGGAATAGCTGGCCAAAGGCTGTTTACTCTGCACTGGTATGGGACATCTTCCTTTTCCCTCATCTTTGGGAAATTTTAGAGGTGCCTGAGTGGCTCCAGCTTCTATCCCTTCTCCTTGGAGGCTCCCATGGCTAGCCCATGCTGGGTCAGGGCTGGTGGGCTAGAATCATCCAATCCTAACAAGACCCCCAGACAGAGCTCTCACCCAGGGTGCTGTGGATTCACCACGCAAATGTTTCGGGGAGGAGGCTTTTACACTTCAGAGAGAGAAAGAAAGAGACAGACAGAGAAAAATAGAGAAAGAGAGACAGAGAGAGCCAGGGGTGGGGAGAGATATGCAGAGGCAGAGAATATGCCACAGCCCATGCCCATGGTCTGTGGAGGTTGGGGAAGCTGCTGAGGCCCTTCCTTGTTACCATATGGAGATACAACACTGGCTTCAACTGTCCTTGCCCATAGGCAGGAGGGATGAGAGCTCAGGAAGCTAAGTATCTTGTCACTCTCAGTTCCTACAGATGACCTGTTTCCTTGCTGCCACAAGGTATTTTGACTGGTGGGTTTCATGGTTGAGCCCAGCCAGCGGGGCCAGTAATGGAAGTCTGATTCTGGTGGAAATTACTGTGAAGACACCATGGCCATGCCATTTGCTGCAATCTTACATTTGTCCTTATAAAGTGAACGTCTAGGCATCTGTTCTTTGTTTCTTGCTTGGTTTACAGCATAGGTAGAAAAGGGGGGGTGGGATCAATGGCCCCCTGGATCCACAGTGAGTGGAGTCACCTCTGGCTGCCCATGTCTCCCCAGGTGGCAGTAGAAAGTTCAGAGCATGATCAGCATGCCATGGATGGCCACACACATGGGTCACCAAGAATAACATCCCACCTATACACTGTAGGGGATTCCAGGAGGCTCAGCAGTCATTTCTGCCTAAGGATCCCAAAAAGTAGCTCCTAAGAAGAATGGTCCTGGACTCATTTCCTAGGAGAGCTGTGTAGTGGGATCTCAGCAAGGTCCTGTGTTCCTAACAAAAAGGTTTGAGTGAAAGTCCCCAGGGAAACAAACTTCAGCCATATATGGCTCTGTGACTGGAAGAAAGGACCCAGGTCCTCAGCCACTCAGCCCTGGGACATGTGTGGTAACATGCTGCAGCACTGTGTTATGAAAGCTGCTCTGTGGGGAAGGTAAACTGCCGCTGAGTACAACTACAAGAACGGTGCCAGGTCCAGAGATGAGGAGGACTCAGCCTCACTGCCACAGGAGCTGTCCAGGTGGCTAGCCTGTTCCAGGTGCCTGCCCAACAAAAAACACAGCCACTCCCACAGCACCCCAAGGGTGAAGATTCTCCAGACTCCTGCTGGATACCATTCTGACAGTCACTGTTCGCCGTCTCATCTCGAAGTTCAGAGGGATTTCCATCAGCCAGGCACTCCTTGTCTTTATCTGTTTCCCAAGGTAAACAAAGTGACCAGCGCTGGCCAGCTGAGTTTCTGAGGGATGCTGCACCCCAAATCTCTGAGCTCTGTGTCTTAGAGCCCTCTGCTTCCTGGGGTGTAACTGCTACCTTGCATCACTGAAGACTCTCTGCAGGCAAGGCAGCTCTGTGGTCATCACTGTGCCCTCACCCACCACACTGTACCTGCCAGGCATCTCCCTTTCCCTTTGTATGTTCAGCTACACATGTCCAGGAGGTTTTGGATCATCTCAGTCCTTGTATTGAACACAAAGCCACCCAACGTCATATGACTATCAGGAGGCAAAAAAAAAAAAAAAAAAAAAAGGGTCTGGCAGGGTCTGAAGTTGTCCACTGTCATCCTGACATTCTACATGTGTACTGTCTTTCCTTGAAGTGGGACTGATGTGGTGGTGGTGGGACTTCGTGGACTGGTGACCCATGTTGGCAGGTAATGGGGCTCGGGAGGCAGGAGTTTTGCTTCCCTTACCCCACAAAGCTAGTCCCGGTTTGACTACAAGTTTGGGTTACTATGGTGCCATACCCAGATGTAGTTTAAGAAAGCTACAGGGACTGTCAGCATGATGGGTGGGGGGAACAAAAGGAGACTGACTGTCCATGTGGAGCTGAAGAGGCTCAAAAGTGGACCCTGCCACAGACCTCTGATAGCCTCTAACCCTTGGAAGGAGCAACAGAAAACATTAAAATGGAGTAGCTACTCTGATGGGTGGTTTTTTTTGTCACTGTTACTGCAGATTGAACTCAGAGCCTCTGTTCTAAACTATGGCCTCAGTCTTTCATATTTTCAGTCAGGGTTGTGCCAGGTCACTAAGCTGCCCAAGTTGGGCTTGAACTTGCCATCCTCTTGCTTCAGTTTCCCAGAGTGCTAAGATTACAGGCATGCGCCACCATGTCTGGCTATTTGGTGGCTTTTATTAAACATAATAGTCACATTAACAATTTCTGTGAGGACAGTACTAGATAGTACCTAATTTGTAGTTTTGATTGGTAAAGAGGCAGTCATTTAATTTAATCTAGCTTACAAACACTTAGGTGCAAGTTCTATCTTTCTATCTAATAGTAGATTTTATAGCTAAGTTTTGATTTTTCTCCCTTCTCTGTTAACATACTATGAAATTATAAAAGAAGTCTCTCTCCCCACTCTGTGTATCAATATAAAGATTGAACTGATGGCAAATAATGACAATGACCAAAACAGCTATGGCCAGTCTTCAGTTAATATCTGCAGTGATGGGAACAGGTCACTTAGTAATACGCATTTTTTGAACCACAGAAACAGGGCCAATGTTTCTGTTTCAGTTTTGGTGGTAGGTTTCTGACTATTAGAACAATGAAGCCACTACAATTTATTGGGACCCTAAGGACATTTTCAAAGGATCCTTACCCTCTATGCCCTCTTCTTTAAAGCCTGTGCTGCATAAAATGTAATTTTTATCAATAACCAAGGAGCTCATAATATCACAGCTGCATTGAAATCTTCATGCTGTGAAATCTAATTCATCTAGTACACGAATCCATCACTTACGCAGACCCTCTCTCAAATGCTATAAAACTTCCAAACCCATAGATTTGTCTCCAACAAAAATAACATGAAGGGCCCTTTCAATCAATAACGGAATCCCTCTGATTCTGGAACTGGCTGAATATTTTTTCCAACTTCGCCTTTGTTCTTCTGGGCAGAGCCCACAAGGGAAAAAGCTTGTTTTCACTCGCAGCCTCATCAATACCTAAATCCTGGTGAACAAGTGACACCGAGAAGTTGTAATCAATAGCTCCCTGTGCGTTTTTTTCTTCTGGTCAAATGGTTCAGCTCCACTGACAACCCTGACACTTAGAACATGATGCTAAATCTTTATCAACAGCCATCTGGGTGACTGGCAGAACAAGACTGGGGGGTCATCAACGCTCATGGCAATCTGAGAATAAACTAACTCCTCAGGAATGTGTTTGTTTAGAAAAAGGTGGGAAACTCTCCATGCATGTATTGATCGACTCTGAACTGCATTTAGCAAATTCTGTCTAAGGATGAAGTAGAAGGGGCGTTGTGGGGAGGGGGGTGTGAGGAGTTTTCAATTTGATACAATAGGACACTGACCAGCCTCTCGTGCTGGGTGGGGTAAACCTTCCAGAAGGTTGCTTGATCACCCCGTGGGACTGGTGAGTCCTGCTTGGAAAGTTGGAAGAAAAGGAAGTTCTAGGATGATAGAGACTCCCACATCACAAAACCCCTTCCCTACTCTGGGAAAGAGGGGGACAAACCTATACCCACAACCAATGCTGAGACAGGAAAAGGATGTGGTCATTTCATTCTAGCACCTAAGGACTTAGTACAGCACATTGCTTATGGTATTCGTAACATTCTGAATCCATTTTTTCACACTCACTCTCTTACACGCGCAACTGATCTGCTCATCCTCCATATCAGAGGTGTTTTTTGTTAGCACCTCTCAAGTTGCCATCATTGGAGCAGGGTGATGCTTACAGCACTGCTGGGAGATACCTCCAAGGGCAGGGACACCAGGCATGGCCTGTTGTGAGCCAGGGCCTTTTCCCCCTTGAATCCCTGGGTCACTATCTGGCTTTTCTATCCCACTCAAGGTTTTCAGGGGATCTTGGCGGGGAGCCATCATCCTGAGATACATGTAAAATGTACAGCTGCAGGTTATCTTGAGTATTTTGGCACATCTTGTATGCATGTATGGCAGCTCCAGGTACTACAGCAATTTTCTGCAGAAGCCGAAGGTCCCTGCATGAGTCAAAGCCCACAGAAAGGCCACAGAAGAGGCTTACCAGCACCCAGGATGCCCTTAACACAAGAAGGATAAAGATCCTGAGAGAGGGAGACAGCTGTTTGCAGAAACTTCCTTCTGATTCTGTTGTCATGTCTATTCTTGGCTTTAGCACACAACTGGAATGTCTATATGTACACATTACGCATTAACAGTTTTAAACCTTGTGAGATTCTTTTTTTTTTTTTTTTACAAATTTAGGTGACTTAGGCTGTAGACACTTAGACACTATCATAGAGATTAATAGCAGGAGAAAGAATCACACTGGTTTGCAGAAAAATAAATGTTCCCAAATATTGCCATGAGCAGGTCACTAACCAGTGAGGGCATTCACATTGCAGAGTGAATAGAAGCTTCTGGTGTCACAAAGAGCAGGTGTGTGTGGGGTTACTAACTTGTGTCTGTCAGTCAGTGGAGCTTGTTTTATAGCAGAAGCAGCAAGCTGCATAGACCGAGGAAGAAGACGTATTGGTGCTGCTGATAGGACATCTCCCACCTTCACGTGCACACACAGGGATCCATGGACCAAGTAAAATGGCTTCATTTTTAGACTGGCCACATGAAATTGTATATGTATGCTGTTTGCTGGTGCAGGAATGATTAGAGGAGCACCTTCTCCACCTTTACCTTTGGAGAGACCCAAATCTCAGTGAAGAAAAAGACCAACTCCACCCCACAGGCATGAGGAGAAGCATTTGGGCTGCCTCCTCTGTAGCAAAACTAAATGCCTCAGACTTGAGTTATGACCTGAGACAGGATGGTGGCCTTTCAAAGGGAAGATGGATATCAAGTTTTGGTGAGAAAAGTTAAAAACCATCTTCAGAAATAGACTTGGAAGCATCCAACAGACACTGTAAAAATTCACTGGTAGTGAATATCCTGTGATTAGCATACAACAGGTGCAAAAGGAAACACTAGTATGCTACTGGATATCATTACCAAAATGCTGGACAGGAGCTAGGGAGTGAGTATGGTGTGTGGTCCACGTTGTGTCTGGCTCCAGACAATATGGTGTATTTCAACAAGGCAGACAACTTCCCCCTGAGGAGGGTGTACACTGAGACAACATGATCCACCACAAACTCACAGAAGCTGCTTCTTCAAGAATAACAATGCAGTCTTGAGCAAAAGACTATGTAATTGCCATCTCCTAGAAACCAGAGGGCTCTGCCCTCAGGCTGCCGCAGCGCCTGGCAGGAGCAGCCGGCTGTAGTGTGAAAACGCCTGCTCTCCCTTGTGAGCAGGGATGAAAATAGTTTTAAAAAAATATACAGCAAAGCCACAGCAATTTTTTAAAAAGTAGGGTCTATCTGATTTAGTAATTTCCTATCCCCTGATACAATGATCACATTTGCTCTCCCTGATAAGATGGCATTCTTCTATCATATTACAGACTCGCATAGCTTTAGGGAGAAACCGTTACTAACTTGATAGCACACCCTCACCAGGCACGGGGGTACTGAGCAGTAACATTCCAGGGGCCTCTCAGGGTGGGGCAGACTGTCCCCGTGAGTTGTATGGGGGCCTTTGCTGCTTACCCACAGGGCATACAGCTGTGGAGCCCTAGCCTGGCCCACATCACATGCTGCAGGTGACATCTATGCTCACACAAGATGGTGTGGGTCACAATTGAGTACCCAAGGTCCCTACTCGGCTGACACCACTGCTGGGCACACAGCCCCTACCCCCTGTGGCCTGTCCTTTTCTCAGAGACCAAGGTCAGGCCTTTCTGTGGGTACTCAGTAAGATCTGCCCACAGACTCTTGGAAGGACAGGATGCCCACAAAGGGGTATCCTGGTAAGACATGCCATAAATACAGCATATTGTTCACATTGCAGGGTCTTACACTTCCTATGTTCATGCGCTTGAGACCCAGGAAATACTGGGCCTCACTGACAATGTAGCCCTTAGAGAGATGAGGTTGCACCATTTTAGGGAGGGCCTTCTAGAAGGAGGAAGCCAGGTGGGTGGGCCTGTCATGGCACCTGGAAGAAAGCTGCTCACACCACAGACAACCAACATGCTCTGCTGTGCAGTGAATGCCTGAAGGAGCAGACAAATGAATGGAACTTCCTTCCTGTCCTCTTCTCTAGGCTCTATCCTTTCTTCTCACTGCTCACTGCCATTATCAGGGGCTCCAGTAGCTGGGCCACAATGGGCGGTATCACAGATGTCTCCTCTCCTCCCCACCACAGCTACACAGGTTGTCTCTGAAACATGTTTAATCAAATGACACTTCACCCCCAAGTGCTCACTTGACCTCGGCCAGTCTGACGCCTGTGTTTCCAGAACTTACGGGATTGTTTCTCATTGCTCCTCCCACTGCGCGAGCTGCTTTGGGGTTGCCTGCCAGGGCTGCTAATTGCTGGTAAGAAACCATTTCTCCGAATTTCACAACCTTCAGCAGCTTCCATAACACCTGTCTGGTGAATGAATCTGAAAGGAAGAATACAGAATGATGTTATTTGGACAAACGGCTCCAACAGCTCTGATATAAATAGCTGCCAGTCCCGGAGCAGAAAATGCAACAACACAAATAGAGGTGTTACATTCAATTAAAACACAGCCTCCACACAGTGCCCTGTCACTGTGTCACAGGCAAGGAGAAATGGAAAGGAGGAGGCAGGCACAAAGCAGCCAGGCCCCTCAGAAGGCCTCCACCTCTCTGCTTTCAGATCTGTAAATTCCTTCCACTCTTCCACGTTCTATGCAGGACTTTTATGTGACACTCTTCTGGAAGGAGAGCACGTATGCACTCAAAAACAGCTCAATTAATAAGCAGAGAAGTCCCTGTCTACCTACTGTTTGGAAGTTTTTTGGACTGCTGGTTAATTTCCAACTTCAGCTGGGACACAGAAGGCAGAAGTAGCAGAAACACGGCTGAAGTACTACGTTAGCTGTGTACACCTAGCAGTGGGCAAGCCAGTCCTCAGTCGCTCCTCTGAACGCCAAATGCCCTCCTATGTGCGGAGGTAGGTGGTGACCCTTGTTACAGGCATTGTTAATGAGTAGGGCTGTGCAAATAAAATAACTTTCCCATTTTAATTGGTCGCTTCACATCACATGTGCCCTGCTTCCTGCTACAGGAACCATAAGGAGAACATGCAGCCATTGTCCCTCCAGCCACCTCTGGGTTTTGGAAATGTTTCCTGGGTATGAAGAGTGCAGGGCAGAAACCCAGGCACACTATGGTGGCCAGTCTGAACCGATACCTATCGTCTTTCCAGAGGGAGCACTGGAGACAGAGACACATCCTCCATCCCGGTAGCTCAAAATACTCTGGGGACAGGAGTTTCTGAATGGTGACAACAAAGGGGAGGACTCTGTGGGCAGGAACCACGTTTGGAGTGTGTCTGTGAGAGCATTCATTACACTTGGTGCCAAGCTGGCAAAGTGTGATTTGGTTCTTAAAGGAAACACACCCTTACATGTATGTTAAATAACAAAAATCACTTCTTAACTGAAGGGCACGATAATCACTTCACTGCGAAAAAAATCTGTTTAGTCTTTATTATAACATTAAGCAAATTAAACATCAGCATAATCCAGGTGATACTAGAAAAGGGTCATCAAAGAAATTAACTTTGTTGTTCATTAATTTACATGGATTAGTAGAGGGCAGAAAGATAGCAAATGTGCTCTAGTTTTTTGTGATATAATTTCAAACTGTACACCATTTGTGGCAGGAGGGTGACTTTGGGGTTAATCAGACTGATTTGTCCTTTTAATTGCTTTCTATTCAAAGAAAATTCATTAGATAATGTTCTCTTCAAAATTCATGAATCAATTTAACTGAAGAAACCGCATTAACAGCTTTGGGTTCATTAGCACATGCAGTTGTGAGAGGCTGATTGCTGGGAGGGTTTCCTTAGGCAAACAGACTCTGTTTACTGTCTTTCTTCAGAAAGGGGCTTGAAATCACACTGTTAATCGTTATTATTGTTACTGTTGTTATGCCTAACTTAAAAAAAAAGAAAAGAGCAGGCAGAGAGAAAGGTAGTCTGGTGTCACTTGCAGAAAGTGATTTCAGGGGCCTCATCTTTAGAAAAAACAAACAGTAGAAGCAGCCCTACAAGCTCAAAGAGGTGAAGGCTGATCTCTGCCCTGAGCTGGCAGAGCACAGAGTGATGGTTTGTCTTCTGCGCTTTGACCCTGGGAGAGAGATGTAGCCACAGTGCTCTGGGAGAAGGGCCTGAGATTCAGTAAATCAGTTGGAATAAAATGAGGTGGGTAACCCAGCTGGAACAGAAAGTGGTTCTGAGAGATAATGGTACCTCCTAGTGCCATTCACCATGCTTTGGCTTTGAGCGCTTCTTTGATAAATGACTACTAACTCAGGGAGCACCTTTCTCTTCCCTTGGAAAAGTCCTACATAACGGGATGATTATATGTCTGGATATATGCACCAGAGATTTCCAAACATGTTCAACTTTACTGTTGTTTTATCACAGAAAATTGTTTCTTAAATGATATGCACTAGACCATATATTGGGCGATATAGCTTAAAAGATGTGATATTTCACAACTAAGCACATTCATATACAAACACACCTGAAAACTCCCTATCATCCTGTAGGACTCAAATGCTTTTTTAGTTCAAGCAGCTCTCAAATACAATACTTTGACCCTAACCTGTCTACAGTCAGGTAGCTTTTACTGTCCCTACTTGCAAGGAAAGGACTCACAATTCCTAGGGATAAGCATTTTTCTAAAATGTAGAAAAATATGACAGTAAAATCCAAAACATGTTAATGTGTAGAATACAATTTCTGGAGGTTGAAACCATGACATAAGTCCTCAGTAACCAGCTCAGTCAGTTTGGTGGTCCAAAAGGAAAGCGCTAACATGCCATCCTTCTCTAGGATGAGTGTCCCCAGGAGAGGGCCGACGACTCTATGCTGTGGAAAGTGGCTTCTACATTCCTCATGCTGGTACTCCTTTTTTTCATGGCTTTCCTCCTGGGTTCCTCCTGGATGTACCCTTTCTTCAGTCTGTTCTGGGGTCCCAGTTACCTGGGCTGTGCTGGAATGGCTGGAGTCAACATAAACTCTGCTGGTGGCTTCCCTGTGTATCAAGTTTACTTCTGAAGGCCATGCCTGCTTTCACTATGGTTTGACTGGCTACTTTAACGCATCCACTATAACCACCCAACTGAAAAAGACTTCTACATTCTTTACTTAGATTGTATGCCCTCAGTGATAAGGCAGGAAATGCTGGCGTAGGGTAAACTGTGCTGTGCTATGGATAGTAGGTTCTCAGCACATGATGGAGTGGGTGAACAGGGCCCTGAGGAGGGCAGGCAGTCTTCACTTGTGTACCAGGATGACATAGTGAGACTGGCTCTGAAAAGGCTGATGGCACATGTTAGGGGCACCGCAGGAGGAATCAGTCAGGGAGCAGCCTGATTTTGCCCTGCTGATCTCAGATGAGTCTCTTCCTCGTCCTGGCTGCTATGAACATCATTATAAGAGCTCCCTCAACGGCATGTCCTGGGCCTCCAGTGCATATGGCTGGGCATGAAGCATACTGTCAGTGGCAGGACTGGCCTACAAGCCAGTTCCCTCTGACATCAGGACTCAGACTCAACCACTGTGCATGCCTTCCTTGTGAGATGGAGCACTGCATTTCCAAGTGCTTGCCAAAGACTCTTCCTGCTCTCCACCATCAAAGTTTCTTTGCAGAGGGGTGCAGCTTCCCAAGGAGAGCTGCGATTCAGCAGCCCTGTCCTTTGAGCTTTGCCTTGGTCAAACTTCAGCGAGGGAACATACTCAGGCAGACTTATGATGTCTGCAGGACTCTGCCCAGCAACATCTCAATGGCTATGATGTGCTGTGGGTGTGGCTGGCCACAAAGTGTAGAGCTTCCATCCTTGCAGATTCTTCCCACAACAGCAACAGGTGGCCTGCGTGGGGCTCTCCTGGAGCTGCTAACCATGGCACAAGTCAAAGCTATTTGACCTCATGCTGCCTGATCATTAGGAGTAACCAAAATTAGCTCTAAAAGAAAGCTGAAACACTACAATGGAGGTAAGCAGGGCTTCTGATTCAGGGCAGTGGACATTGAACCTGGTCCCTTCTTCAAAACGCCTTCATGGGATGTGGCAGAGTGCAGACAGCAGCTCTTGTGAGGGCTGTGAAAAGTCAATAGAAACGGGAAGACTGGGGAATAAGATACTGGAATGAAACAGCACCCAAATCATGAATGGTTTACTGCTTTTCCTGTTATCCCCAGCCAGGATTTACCATAGGCTGAGCTCTGACAGGGGCACTCCAGGGCTCTAACACCTGGTGGAAGACAGGATGTCCTTGGTTTTCAGGGAGCATGGGAAACACTGTTGTTCCCTTCTGAACAATGATACCTTAGACCCCTTGAGCTATTCCGTAGTCCTGTTGGAGGAGCATGTGGCTACAGGAGCTTATATCACAGAAGAAGAGATGGGCCTTTTCTGATGGAAGAAGGTGTGGTTCCAGGGGGGGAAACTTTGCTTTTCTGCTTTTTGGGCCTCAGACAGGAACACAGTTACTGGTAGTAAGTATCAAAGTGGAGTGAACAAAGTCCCAGTTTTGTGTTCAGGCGATTGAAAAAGGGAGCCCTAAGAACTAGAAAGTACCATGGAGACTACAAAGGACTTTTTTTCATACCAGAAAGTTATTTATACAATCCTAGATGCAACTGTCCAGGTGAGCTGCCCACCTGCCTAGCTGTACATATGTGGTCCTGATCCTTGAACTAATGTAAGGCTTAGGCACTGCCAAATTCAGACCAGGTGCTGAACAGTATATGCTGAGACAGATTAGAATTGGGGCTACAAATGGAATGGATACAGAAACCATAATTCAAAGAAGAGCAGTTGGAACTCATAAAACTAACGCTAACCAGGTTGACTGACTCTTGAAATAAAAATATCAATATTACCTGTAGGATTTATGCAAGATTCAGTTTCATAAAGTTGGGCTACAATTCAAAATTACTAAGTATGTAAATAATTATCAAACTCTCAACTTGCTTGGGAAAAGATAATTAGTACATGCCAAAGCTGAGCTGGATTCATCTGACAGAAACTTTAAAGGATATGTCATAAAAATGTAGTAAAAAGCAGTCAGGTAAGGCGGTGAATGCCTATATTATAATTTCAATGATGCAGGAAGCTGAGATGTAAGTTCAAGGGCAGCCTGAGCAACTTAATGAGACCCTGTACTAAAAAAAATGCTTTCCAAAATAAGAAATATCTTGTGACAAATAAAAAGACATAAGTTTCAGTAAAGAAACAGGAAGTCTACAGAATAATCAAGTGGAAAGTTTAGTACTGAACAATAACCCAAAATACAAATTGCTCTTCACTAGATCAGTTTCAGAATGAAGATGCCAAAGATAATAGTTAATGAGCTATAGACAAATGAAGAGAAACTTCTCAATCTGAACAAAGAAAAAATTAT